TGTCGTCGTTCTCCGCCACTTGAAGGGCTTCGGTGTTGAAGCGGGTGACGAAGCTGCGGAGCGACTCCCCCTCGGTCTGACGAATGTTAAGGAGTTGGGTGGCTGGGCGTCTCTGACGCTGGGCTCCGATAAAATGGCTCAAGAAAGAGTCACTGAGGTGTTGAAAGGTGGAGACGGAGTCCGCCGGTAACTGGCTAAACCACAACCGAGCTGATCCCTTCAGTGTCACGGGGAAAGCTCGGCACATGATCTCGTCATGGAAAGCATGGAGGATCATGAGGGTGCGGTAGGTTTCCAGATGGTCGACTGGGTCCGTCGTGCCATCGAAAGAGTCAATGGTGGGCATTTTGAACTTGGCGGGCAATGGTTTGTCCCGGATGGAGGCAACAAAAGGTGAGTTGGCGATGACTGAGGGCTTGTGCTGGATGTTCTGCATGACCCCTTGTAGTTGGAGCTTCATAGCTCGGAGTTCGGTGTCCCAGAGGGGGATATTGTCGCCATGGTCGGTCAATGGAGGCTGGACGCTGCTGGCTTCCCCCTCAGGGGCCAGTGCCACGACTAACGGGCGTGGAGGTGGAGGTGGTAGGCTCATATGTGGAAGAGGAGGAGGTTGTAAACCGTCTGGGTTGAGCGGAGGGGGTGGTGGAGCAGTGTAGACAGGGGTTCTTTCTTGGTTAGATGGAATATCTGGAGGTGGAGCAGGGAGGTTTCTTTGGAGTAAAGCATTGATCAGGGCCTAGTTTTGCTCGGCCATGCGGTTAATGCTGTTGGTAAGTTTGATGATGTACTGTGGTGGGTTGTTTGGATGGGAAGGGTCTATTTGATAATCGGCGGTATTATGGTGAGAAGCCATGGACCTAGTCGTGACCATGCACCTGGACGGGTGAGAGGAAAAGGTGATGGGGAGAATGGGGGGCTCCGGCGATAGTGAACACAACTAGCGCACGGATAAACCACAAGTTCCCACAGATGGCGCCAACTGATGATGCAGTTCGTCCTGGATGGATGGGTCGGGCTGGTCCAAGCTTTCCAAGTTCTGATTCAGGCGGATGATTCCACCAGATGACCTGCAAGCAAGTCCAAAGGGGAACGGGGTAGTCCCCCAGTAAACCCTCCGGCGAGCAAATCAGTAGAGGAAGAAGGAAATATAGAGAGAGAGAGAGAGAGAGAGAGAGATAGAAAAGCTTAACCTTTCTCTTGTCTTCGATTCTTGCTTATATCCTTTGGTAATCATTTCACTGTCCCTTGCGACGTGCCCCCTTCGGCCGAAAGCCTGTGCCGTAGCTTACCTTGTTCAGGGTGAGGGGGCTCTGTTCCGACGGGGAGGTATTGTCGTAATAAATGCTGTGATGGGCTGCATTAATGGTGATGTGTTGTGGCAATAACTCTGCAGATCTTTGTCTGCTGATGTGGCCTGTGTTTCACCTGCCATGTGTCCGAATGTCATTGATCCTCCATGCCTAGATGGCCTCCAGCTGTCCTGGGCTTTGCCAACCGGGTTGTACTATGGGTCCCAAGCGATGGGTTTGAGATTGTTTGCTGTGGGCTGTAAGCCTTATGAGTTTATTCATATCAATATAATTTTTTTTTTTCCTATAACATTATAATGTTTACAAACCTAAAATTTTTACTAGAAAAGTGTTTACATTATTCTACAATTTTCTGTGGATAGCATTACATTCATTTAGGATGGGTCCACATTTCTACAATTTTCTGTGAATAGCGATACATTCATTTTGGATGAGCGTGAACAACATCACATTCTTTTTGGATGGGTCCACACTTCACTATAACGAATGCAGTGTTATAGTTGTCACAATGCATTATAGATATATATATATATATATATATACATATGTATTGTAATATTTTTTACATTTGTAGCACTAATATTTTTTTTTATTTTTTATTTTTTACCTTAATTCCCTCAACCTTAATTTGTGCACATTTTTTTTTTTTTGTATTTAAATTTTGTTTGAGTGAACTCAGTGGACTAAATTAGTGTAAATTCTCATTCTTGTGTGCAACGTTCGTGCCCATTAATTTTTCGTTCAAAACTCAGATAGTTGTTAATGATTTGATTAATTTAAAATAAAATAAAAAAATAAATATGTTTCAAGAAAATGTTAATCCACACAAAAAAGAGCTACCCGACTCCCCGAATTTGTTGTCACCATTTGAACCAAATCTCAACCCACGCTCCTCTTTTTACCCACACTCCTCTCTTTTCTTTCTTTCCTCTGAAACGGTATTATGAACTAGTCATCTATCAACCAAGAAAACATAAACATTGCATTCAATGAAGTAAGATAGCATACTATTGCTATGGTCATGAAAAATAAAAGGGCAAATTACATATACACCCCTCGAGGTTTGGTTAAATTACAGATACCCCCCTGAGATTTCGGAAATTACATCCCGCCCCCTGAGGTTTGTATTTTCATAACAATTTACCCCCTGAGGTTTATATTTCATAACAAATTACCCCTAATTTCTTATGCAAATATAGCATTCAGGGGGGAATTTGTAATTTCTCAAACCTCAGGGGAGTATTTGTAATTTAGCCAAACCTCGAGGGGTGTATATGTAATTTGCCCTTGAATTTAAAAGAGCTAACCAACCCACTTCAAAATTTCTTGGTTTTTCCCCCAAATGCTTCACGGACAAGATTGCCAAATAATACATAGATAATCTTTCACTTAAAAAAACAAAATTAAAATTTTAGAGATCAAAACTTAGAAATAAAATTATTTTTTAGGAATTACATATTTTGGTTATAAAAAGTGTCATTATTATATTTTTAACAACGAAAATTTAACATTAGTAATGAATTATTATCTTTTTAGGACCAAATTTTGTCTCAAAAAATAAACCATTTTAAAATCAAATTATTGTCTCTAAAAGTGTATTTATTAGTGATATTTTTAAAATTGTACTAAAAATTTTATTTTTGACTTTTTTGAATGACCTTTTATCTATTATCCTCACGGCGATAGAAATTAGTTCCTAAATATTTTTGCAACAAAATTTTCACTTTTAGAGACCAAAAATTTCATCCTAGAACTTTTATATATTGTAGTGATTGATACTTGAATCAAGTCAAATGAGTAGTTACAATACACAATACGAAAAGCAAAACACAACACTTTACGTTAAGGGGTTATTTAAGATGATATAAATAAATGTATTTTTTATTTTTTTATGAAAATATATAAAAAAAATAAAAAAATAATGTGATAAAAAAAAGATAAAAAAATAAATTGTTTTGATATTACTAAACTTGACCTAAATCATGAATGTAGCATTGATGCCCCATCGGGAGTAATATTGTTAAAAATAGAATATAATATTTTGTCAGTATTAATTATTGAAATGTACGGTTTGACTATTCAGCCAATGAAAACGCTTAAGACATGAAAGTAACTTGAGGACTGACTTTACCCAAAAAAAACTTGAGGACTGCATATATTTTTGGAGGCAAATCGCTTTTCGCTTTTAAAATTTGTATTTTAAAAAATATTTAAAATTAGATTGATAAAAAATAATAAAAAAGTAAGAAAAATGCTTGGGAGTACTAATTAGTGCTCCCACTAATTAGGTGGCAGTGGGTTCCGTCATTAATGATGTGATGTTTTGGTCTTGGAGTTGTATTTTTTTTTTTTTACTTTTTTAATGCATTAGTGCTATTAGTGGTGATATTTTTAGTGGAACGAATCATTGTTGAAAAAGTAATAACCACTCATCAATTTCATACCGTTCCTTATTTTTGTACAAAAATATTTTTTGAAAATTTGATATCGTTTATTATTTTTTGTACAAAAATATTTTTTAAAAAATTCAATAATATTTTTTGCTATTTATTTTCACCAAAGGGGTTTTTAATATTTTGTAAAAAATAGATTCAGGAAATAAAATCAAACAAATTTATGTAAAAAATTGGGTCAAGTGTTTACATGAATTTGAACCGCATAGCATTAATTTTAGGGGAAGTTACGAGATTGTATTATGGACCGTATGTATTTGTCAAAAAGTCTTATTCAATTTATTTACACTTTTTACGTTATATTTTAATACAAATTAAAACAAATAAAATTAAAAATAAAATCAAAACTTACCAACAAAAGCCAAAATATCCCAATCATTCATTGCTTTAATAAATTTATTAGTACCAAATGATCATTCCATAAATAGAAAACACATTTAAATTTTTTTAATAAAAATTCATTATCAAAACAAAGGAAAAATTCATAATAAAATTTAGGATAAATTATGCAAATAGTCCATGTAGTTTACACGATGTGTTAATTTAGTTCTTGTAATTTCAATTTGTTCGATTTTGCCCCTTAATTTAACAGATTGTGTCATTTTAGTCAAATAGATAACAGTTGTTAAGTTAATTTAACGGAAAGTCAAATAATGAGTCAATTTGCTTCATATTTTTTACACGATGTGTCAATTTAATCCCTGTAATTTCAATTTTTTCGATTTTGATAGGGACTAAATTGACACAATATTTGACTTTCCGTTAAATTAACTTAACAACTGTTATTTATTGGACTAAAATGACACAATCCATTAAATTAAGGGACTAAATTAACACATTATGAAAAATACAGGAACCAAATTGACACATTATTTGACTTTATGTTAAATTAACTTAACAACCGTTATTTATTGGATTAAAATAACACAATTCATTAAATTAATTGATAAAATTAAACAAATTAAAATTACAAGAACCAAGTTAACCCATCGTGTAAACTATAGAAATTATTTGCATAGTTTTTTTAAATTTATACTAAAGGAGTTAAAAAGTAAATAAGTTCAGGGTAATTATTATATGATATTTTCCTAAAGGAAAAAAGTCCAATTAAGTAAGTAATTTTGGGTCCCACTAATACTCAATTCTGAAATTATTTCTAGGGCCTACACGGTTGAGGACTTTTTGAGCGTGTTTATTTCTTTCCCATGTCGGTCCCAAAAGTCAGGACTGAATTGGCCAAGTATTCGGAAAAGATGATAAATGCACGAAATGGTGACAGGAATTCCCCAGGCTACAATACCTGGAAGCGTGGTCAAGGACTTAAAAATTCTTTCAAAAACTATGGAGAAGTAAGAGTTTGGGGATGGAGAGAATTGGTAAGAGTTTGGTGGCAATGGCAAGGTTTCTGGCGAAGAAGAGTGAGAGTTAGCTTTGAGATCAATTTCTATCCTTCTCAAATGCCAACTTGAGCCCCTAGACATTTTATTTTTAAACTTGATCGATGATTTTCTTCCTCTATTCTTGAGAAAATGGTGAAACATCATCTGGGCTCTAAGATTTGTACCCTCTTCTTTCTCTGTTTACTCCACTTTTTCGTTTTTGGTCATTGTCAATCCCATTCAAGCGATGCTTCAATAATGCAGGCCTTGAAATTGAGCCTCGGCCTCGACCAACTGGGTTCACTCTATTGGACTGGCTCGGACCCGTGCAATTGGCAAAACGTGGGTTGCTCCAACGACGGACGAGTTATCGAGATCAAAGTCAGATATCAGAACCTCCAAGGGGGGTCTCTCCCTTCAAGCCTGGCCAACCTCACCGCCTTGCAAACACTCGATGTCGCATCCAACGATCTCAGTGGTCCACTCCCAAGTCTCCATGGCATGAACTCACTCCAAAACCTCTTGCTCAGCAATAATAGCTTTTCTTTCATTCCCTCAAATTTCTTCCTCGGTATGACGACCCTGGAAAATGTTTATCTTGACAACAACTCCTTTTCAGATTGGCCCATACCAGACAGTCTCCGAAGTGCATCGACCCTCAAGGTCTTCTCGGCCAACGACTCCAATATCAACGGAAAAATACCAGATTTTTTTGGTGCTAACACATTCCCAAATTTGACGACTCTTCACTTGGAGTTCAACAACCTTGAGGGTGGGCTACCTGCGAGCTTTTCAGATTCTACAATTAAGTCTCTGAGGTTGCATAACCAACGGAGTATTTATCAGCTCAACGGTTCAATTGTTGTGATACAAAACATGACCCATTTGACCGAACTGTGGTTGCATGATAATTCCTTTTCAGGTCCATTACCAGACATTTCAGGTCTTACGAGGTTGCAGAGCTTCACTATAAATAGCAATTACATTACGGGTCAAGTACCGACATCTTTGATGCATCTTCCATCGCTTGAGATTGTGAATTTGACCAACAATCTTCTACAAGGGCCAACCCCAAACTTTGACCCTTCTGTGGTGGTTGATATAAACAAGTTTGATCGGACTAACAGTTTTTGCTTATCTTCTCCTGGAGTTGAATGTGATCCCCGGGTGAATACACTACTTTCAATCGTGCAATCAGTTAATTATCCGATAGAGTTCGCAAAGAGTTGGAAAGGTAATGATCCTTGCATCCATTGGTTGGGGCTCACTTGCACTAGTGGAGACATTATTGTTGTCAATTTTCAAAATATGGGTCTTACGGGTACAATTTCTCCAAACTTCTCATCCATTACTTCGTTACAGAAACTAATTCTCGCTAATAATAATCTTACTGGTACTATTCCGAATGAGCTTACAACTTTACCTAATCTTAGAGAATTAGATGTCTCTAACAATCAGCTTTATGGAGAAATCCCATTATTTAAGAATAATGTGATTATAAAAACTGACGGCAACCTTCATATTTGGAAGAATAGTGTTGCTCCATCACCAGGGACACCTAAAACAACTCCGAATAATTTTGAAAGCAATGGTAGTAAGTATTCGATTGGAGTGATTATAGGCATCGTAATTGGTGGTGTTTGTGTAGCTTTGGTAGTTGGAATTGTTATATTTTATCTATACAGAGGTAGAATAAAGTATTCTAGTAAACGTCATGTCATTGAAGTTGAAAGCATGGTAATCTCTATTCATGTTTTGAAGAATGCGACCAACAATTTTAGCCAAGAGAATATATTGGGAAGAGGTGGATTTGGAACTGTCTACAAAGGAGAGTTGCATGATGGCACTAAGATTGCAGTTAAGAGAATGGAGTCCGGAATGGTGAGTGAGAGTGGTTGGGATCAATTCAAATCTGAGATTGTTGTTCTTAATGAGATTCAACATAGGCATTTGGTTTCAATTCTAGGATATTGCTTGGATGGAAACGAAAGACTACTTGTTTACGAATACATGCCTCAAGGGACTCTTAGTAGGCATTTGTTTCAATGGAAAGAGGAAGGGTTGAATCCCCTTGAATGGTTGAAAAGGTTGACCATTGCTTTGGATGTAGCCAGAGGAGTTGAGTATTTACATAGTTTAGCCCATCAAAGTTTTATTCATAGGGATCTCAAACCATCCAACATTCTTCTAACAGATGATATGCGTGCTAAAGTTGCCGATTTTGGACTTGTTCGCCTAGCTCCAGATGGGAAGTCTTCAGTTCTAACTAAACTAGCAGGAACTTTTGGATATCTCGCACCAAAATATGCAGGTACTCTTTTATAAACTGAAAATTGTACACATTGAATTTTTATGGAGAAACCTGTCCATAATGATATGACATATGCATTTTTAAAATTTTGTGCATAATTGATGAATCTTTCCTTTAAAAGTGAGAGAACAACAATGTTGAACGTCATTTATCAAAGAAATTTTATATTGAAATTTAGTTTGTATAGTATTATTATATCATAACTATTTTTACTTTTTCTCAATAAACTTTTGGAAGTAAAAGGTTTGTTGTTCTTGAAAGGCCCATTAAACTAGGGGTTTTAACTTGAGTTGTGAAAAGAGAAAACAACAGAAACAGACATCCGACAGAATTCATTGAAACATGATAATAATAAATAAATAAATATTAGAGTAATGCGTTGCAAACAAAAAAAACTATACTAATATTTGCACGAAGTCATGTGGCCAAACTAGGAGCCTTTCACTTGAAAGAAAACAACCATCAAGGTGGTTCTTAATTTAAAATTTTCCATTGACTAATCACTCTAGATAGATTTCCTATATATATATATATATTTATGATAGAATAGTTAAATTTTTTCAGAAAATGAGCTAGCAAAGTATGAGTTTATAGTCATGTAAATCGATTTGATGCTTTTAATTTTTCATTCTTTAGGACTAATTATCCAAGCAAAAAGCCCTTGTCAATTTTCAAAATAGTAGGATTGAATTTATATTATTGTGCATAATTAAATTAATTATCCTGTATTTGTCTAACTATTACATTTGATGTTAATGTTTAAAAGCAACTTTCCAAATTTGAGAGTGAATGATTTAATGACAAAATAGATAATGGGTTAAACTCAAAACGATGAATTCGTGTCACAAAGATCTAGAAGGATATTACATCTAATTATATAGTCTTTATATTTACATGTTATTTATAATTTTTACTTTTGAGAGTATTCATCATCTATTGGGGTGCTCACTATAGGATTTACCTGAAATAAATGCCATTGGATCTAATAATTACTGTTATTTGTGTGTCTTATATTAACCCTAATATTGGAATGTTGGAAAATTTTATTTTATTTTTATTTTTTTTTTACAAGAAAGTTGGGCTTTTCAAAAACATATTTGAAGCCGTTTACACGTAATTATTGAACCCATGTTCCTTTTTAAAGTCGTATATTGAAAGTTTGGCTTCAAAGTAAAAATTGTGTTTTCAACACAAAACTTGAAGTCGTGCATTAAACACACAATTTTTAATTAATTGATTGTCCAGTTTATAAAATTTGTATTTTCAAAGCACAATTTAAAATCTAAAGTCTTGTTTTAACAACACAACTATGGGATTTGGAAAAATATAAGCTCAAAAGTATTTGCATTCGGTAATTTTTTTATACACAAAAATGTGTTTGATAAATAACTTAAAATCTCGTGTATTGGACAGTGACGGGACGGGTAACAGTTAAAATTGATGTGTTCAGCTTCGGAGTGATTCTACTACAACTAATTACTGGAAGAAAAGCGGTATTTCAACTGGAGCCCCAACAAGATGAGTGCATTGATCTTGTCACATGGTTCCGTAGAATACGTATCTACAAAGACTCATTCCAAAAGGCCATCGACCCAACAATTGATCTTGATGAAGAAACACTTGCTAGCGTCAACACTGTTGCTGAGTTGGCTAGTCAATGTTGTGCAAAGAAACCCTTACAGAGGCCCGACATGGCCCATGTAGTCAATGTACTTTCATCTCTTGTTGAGCTTTGGAAACCGCTAGACCCTCATTGTGATGAGGGATTTGGATCCTTTGGAGAGATCAAGCCAACACATCATAGCCACACATTTCAAAATGAGTGGCCTCAATTTTTCAACGACACTACAAGTTCTAGTCGTAATTTCGGGGGATCACCACATGCTCAAGGTCTGAAAGTACAACCATCAGTGACATGGTGATCATGGGCACGAAAATTGTGCAAATGAACATATGAAAAGTACCTGACGCTTCATTTGTTTCACAAAAAAATATTTCTACCGAAAACTTTTTTCAAAAAATGTTTCCTTTTGTTTTTTATTTTTTATTTTTTTATGTCTAGTTGAAATCTTGAAACTTATGTGCTAGTGATTGTATTATTAGCAGTAGTGGTTGAGTGGCGGCAGCAACAGTGGTGATTATGGTAGTAGAGGTGTAGGTAGGTGGTGGTGGTGATGAGGTAGTAATGGTCATGGAGACGGTGGTAGTGGAGAGGTGTTGGTGATGGTTGTTGAGATTTATCGCACATTCCTGAATGTGAATGGAATCACACCACACATACACCAAAGATAAAAATTAGCCGCACAAAGATTGACGTGGTTTGGCGTACATTGCCTTCATTCAAGTAAGTCCTCTGTACCTCCATAGCATATGCTTGTGTCTTTGCATTGTCCCTTTTAGTAATCCAAGTCTCTGTGTTCTTCATATGCAAAATTATTTGTTTTTAATGTTTTGCTAAGTGTCGTTTATTTTAGATTGGGTTTATGGCCATAGATTTATAAAATTCACATTTTATTTTAAAAATCATTGTTATTTTGAAAGTATGGCTTTATTTCTTCAATCTAAAATGAGTGGTATTCATTTTTCTTCAAATTACATAGTTTAGGTTAGTTTAGAATTTTTTGGTCTAAAATGAATTTATATGAACAATTGACCATTAAAATCACAAAATAGAGAGTGAGTAGAGGTTAATCTTCGGATTAGGCAAAAGGAGTGCTTCCATGCAAATGGGCTTACCCTTTTATAACTAAGCTCTCGAACCTAAAATTTTCTTGGTTGTGACGGACTATGCTTTAATTTAATTTTCATCATTAAATATTTCTTAATTCTCCTTTAAAAATTAAGTGGAGACTCTTTGTTGGTTAAAACAAATCGGTGTGGGAAGTAATGCCTTAAACTCGAAAAAAGAGCGACGCCAACACCATGGAAGAGAGATTCCACTATATAAATAAGATAGGGAATAAATGTGAGATGACCAAAATAAATAAAGTTCACACACCACTATCCGAACCGCATACTCAAAGTTAGTTGAGCCCTTACTCACCCCAATATTACAAGGTATTTTTTTCTCGCACCCTTACATCTCTATTTTTCCTCATTGTTGTCTCACCAAAACATGTAACTCCCATAGCTACTTATAATAGTCTACCCAAGAAAAATCCTAGTTCTCATAAAATTAATTAAGTAACCAAATCATACATATATTAGGTTTCCAAATAAATTCTGAACTTTACTATCCTAACTTAAATAAATGTATAAACTAATCGAATAACTATATGGGACCTACATATATCACATGTGCCAACTAATTCTGCGAATGTTGGTGGTGGTGGTGGTGAAATGGTGGAGGTTGTGATAGTAGTGGTAGAATTAAGATTTTAGTTTGGAAAATGCATTCCACCTTTCAAAACTAAAAAGAATATTTTTCTCCCAAACAAGTTCGTATTTTTTTGTGAACCAAACGTATTGACCCTTTTTTATAGAAATATTATTGACAAGTCTATTTCTATCAAGTAGTATGGCATTAGGTTCAAGAATTATTTTATATAAGGATAATTTTTTTCATTTTTACTTATTGTTGTTAGACCACAACCAAAAAAGTTGCTAGAAAGTTCAATAGAAAAGTCATTGGAGGTAGTCACTGGTGACTGAGCAAGGATCCTCTAGAGTTTTTTTTTTCTAAAGTTTCCTAGAGTGGTACATTATGTGGTTAAGATTTAATGACAAGTCACACCAATTTTTCAGCATTAAATCTCAACCACACAATACACTACTTTAGGAAACTTTAGAAAAAAAACACTCTAGAAGATCCTTGGTGCCGGTGACTGATGGTTATGGTGATATAGACCAATAGGTAGATTATTTGGAGAAATAGGTGATACTAGCTAGATAGATGACGTTGAAAAATAGGTGGAACAATAAGTAGATAGACAGATAGGTATGACTAATATGGTTAGTATTTAGTAGAGTTTTCTAAATAAGATTTGATAATAAAGTTGTATTTTGAGTTTTGAGTTTCAAAATTATGATTTGAGTGCAGAAAATTTGTTTAGGTATGAGTTTTGGAAAGAGTTTCGGAAAGAGTTTTAAATTGAGTTTGAAATGAATGACGTGGCATATAATATTTAATTCAAAAACTTACAACTTATAACCAAACACACAACCCAAAATCCTATTCAAAGCTCATAAAAAATTAAAAAAATATTCTGAAAATATTTTTTATTTAAAATATAAAAATAATAGGTGCAAAAAAAAAAAAAAAAAAAAACCGAACACTTCCGGTCAACTGGTCAGACGTCTAGGGAGACAATTGGGTTAACCCAATTTTCTCGCTTGGAAAGGAGTTTTCAAAAGTGGGTGTGAAATTAATTTTTAAAAATACAATCAAACACCAATTGCAAACCAAGAGATGGAATTATAATTCCAAAATTCTTCCAAACAGAGCTATGATCTTTCAAATTGTTATTGCCCTTATGGTCCCTAAAGATTAAAGCTTAAGGCTTTGCTCCAAAAGTTTTAAAACTAATTTATTAGTGAAAGCCGTGCTATGCATAGATGTGAAAAGATTAAAAAAATATTTTTATATAAAATAATATAAATAATTAGACTTTTGTATGTAAATTATGAAAAAAAAAAATATATATATATATATATATATATTGAAACCTACAATTTATGTTTCACAATTTTATCACAATTTATGTATTAATTTTTAATTTGTCAAAATTTCAATCATATAATTTTCAACCTTCTTACTAGAGTTGTAAACTTGAGCGAGTTCAACCCAAGCAACTCGGGTCAAGCCTAAATTTTTTTAAAGATTGAGTAACATAATTTTTAATTGGGTGATAATGGCAAAAATGCCAAATAACTTGAGCAATTGAAATGAAATTGCATGTATAAATATATAAAATTATTTGCTAATTTATTTTTTTAATAATAAATAAAATTAATTAAAAATTTAATATTAATGAACAAAAACAAAAGCAATATGCTTAAGTTTTTTCAATAGATTTTTTTTTATTATGTTTAAAAAATACACCTTTTAGAAATGGATCATCGAATAAATTGATATTAAAAAAATTACATTTTATAATGGAATAAAATAATTTAAATAGGATTTTTCAAAAATTATTTTTAATTTAAAAATTAGAATAAAAAAATTAAATATTATAAAATTAAATTACTTACAAAATAAAAGTATCTAGATTAAAAAAAAAAAGGAAGAAGAAAATTTAGAATGCTATTCTCATTTGATATGAAAATAATTCTTGATGACTAATAAACTATAACCTATAACCTTATTTTTTTAATAAAAAAGATATTTCATGAACCATCACTTTTAATAGAAAAATAACATTTATTTCTATTTGTTCTAGCAAAAGTCATTTTTTAACAATTTGAGCCATAAAATTTTATTTTATTTTATTTTTTCTTTTTGTTTAAAAGACAATTGAGATTTAATAAAAAAAAAAGTATTAACAGGATTCACTATGTTCTTGCAAGTGCTAAAAAAATTTAGATAAACAATAAAGAAAATATTTGATACCTACAAAAAATATCCAAATTGTACCCACAATATTGTGATATCATATGTGTCAACTCTTGATTTGCTATATACTCAATAATATGTGGCCCAAGTCCCTTGCCATATCGTTGTGGGTGAAAGTGTAGCATTGCTGGAATAATAAATTATCACGTATAACTCTCATTTTTTTATACATTTTTTTATTACATAAAAAAAAAAACTAAATTTCACCGACCATCACTTTTAATAGAAAAATAATGTTTATTTCTATTTGTTTAGCAAAAATCACTTCTTAACTATTTAAGTCAAAAAAAATTATTTTTTGTTTTAATATGTTTAATTGACAATTGAGATTTTAAAATAAATAAATAAATAAATAACAGAATCCACCATATTTGGCAAGTTTTAAAAAAGTTACTCATTTTCTTAATATTTTGTCGTTTGTTAAAAAAATTTATTGTTCAAGTGCTTATAATTTAGAACGATATAAAAAAAGTTATAAAATTAAAACTAAAAATGACAAAAAATAAAAATATAAACTTGTAATAGTGATTAATAATTTGAACATGTATATTAATAACATATTATGCTTAGATCAATAATATTATGACATGTCGTTATGACATATGTGAATACAACAATGATTCATCCCACTAAAACATCACCACTAATAGCATTAATGCATTAAAAAAGTAAAAAAAAAAAAAAATACAACTCCAAGACCAAAACATCACATCATTAATGGCGGGACCCACTGCCACCTAATTAGTAGGAACACTAATTAGTGCTCCCAAGCATTTTTCTATGTGAATATTGATCTTATTCTAATTGTAGAAACATAATTTAAAGAAAAATTTAAGTTTAAAATTTTATTTCATAATTTAATAAAGGATGCATAAATTAAGAAATAAATATTGATCTTATTCTAATTATGGTAACATAATTTAAGAAAAAATCTAAATTTTATTTTAAGAATACAAAATTAATTTATAAAACAATCATATTGTGACATATATTAACAAAAAATTAAAAAATTAAAAAAACAATTGTAACTTTCAACTTTAATAAAATGCTAACGTTTTACCATTATAACAGTACATAGATGATCCGAATATCCATGGTTAGATTTGTAATAAAAAAAACTTTTATCACTTATGTTAATATATTATATATATAGCTGTTAATATTCTTTATATATATTTTTATTACATAAATTTGTATCTTTTCCTTTAATAGAATATAGGCTTCTCCCCTTTCGGTATTGATTGACCTTTCCTCCTTTGGAGGTTCCTCGTACAATACTTACATCCGTGCTATATATACTCGTTCTCTTTGTTAGGGTCGTTTAAAAATCTGTTTAAATTAATAATTTGGATCGGATCAGATTGAATTATACGGTTTGATTTGGTTTTATTAAGAATTGATTCGATTTCGGATTAAAAAATATAAGAACCGTAAAAACGGTTCGGTTAATAAATTTTATAGAAAAATTACGGTTCGAACCGAACCGAACCAAATTTTAAAAGATATATATATATATATAATATAATATTAAGTTTTATTTTTATTAATTGATTTTTTATAATTTTAATGATATTAGGATGATATAGATATGTAATATTAAGTAATGCCTTAATATTATTAGTTTTTATCATGAGTTAAATGTTATTAGTTTGAGTAATTATTTTACTAACATTAACCATTTATTCTTGTAAATAGAAATTTTTGAAACCGTAAATCAAACCGAAACCGAATCGTTTTTTCGGTTTGGTTTTGATCTGATTTACAAGTATAACGGTTTGGTCTGATTTTTAAAATCACAAAACTTTTAAGATCGATTTAATTCTTAAATTTTTTTAGAAAAAAACCAATCCGGACCATGTACACCCCTATTTTTGTATTGTTA